AATAAAGCTAACTTGTCTGAATTTATAACAAGGTTTAAAAGGTTTCCACAAGAGACTATAAATACTAATGTATTATAGGATGTGAACAAGCTGTCTAGGACATAATTCAGACAAGATGGAGGGAATGCAGTTTGTTGGGGAGCAAAAGAGTATGAAAACGATAGTGCCTGCTCCCATTATTGAGAGGGTTCACCCTGCCTTCCTGAAGGAGATTTGTGATTCAGATTTCTTCATCCCTTTATGCTCCTGCAGCTCCAGGTGTCTTCCATGGGCCAAAGTACTTTTTATCCCATCTGCTTGTAATGTGATAATTATGACTATTGCTGATGGGAACCTTGCTACAGATATCTATGCCTTTGACCTCCAGCTTGAATCACTGTTTTGTGCTCTCCAGGGTTCCTAACTTTGAAGGCCACTCAGAAGCAGCACCTCATGGAAATGCCGCAGACTGACTACATAATGAGGTTGGTTAAAGAAATTACTATAGATTACACTGGCTTCCTATACGGTCAGTTAAAGGTGTCTGATATTGATCTATAGAGTCCTAGATGACTTGGGTCATTTACTGGAAAGACCTCCTCTTTCCTATGAAACATTGCAGCAGGTCCAATCATCTGATGTGTTCTCCCTGACAGGTCTCAGATTTGAACATGAGGGGAGACTGCGTGCAGGGTGTGCACAACAGAGGCTCCTCAACTCTGGAGTTTTCCCTGTTGGTCTAATAAAACCAGAGTTTAATCTTCTTGCTCAAACTGGCAGAATCTTTCAATCCAGAAAAAGCTCTTTAAGTGTGACCAACGTAATTTAGTTGAAGGTTTGAGGAGTTGAAAGATTTTGAGACATACTCCTTATTGACATAAACTTGGTCACCCATCACCTTCTTTTAGTACCATGCAAGAGTGACATGTCATGATGTAGAAACAGGAAAAAAACTCCTTTTCCAATCTCCACTGTGCAATAATTAACTGGGTATCCAAGTTAAACTGCTAATTCAAAGGTCTAAAGTTTGAGACTTGTTGTCTGAATTATTTTCCTGTGAATATTTTAACTAAACAGCTAAATTAAAATAGTGTAACATGTTACTTCTTAGTCTAACAAGGCTCAGGCTCATGACCTTTGGATTAGTAAAACAGCTCTTCTACTGTACCTAGTCAGCCACAAAAGATTATGGGGAACTAGGGCATTTTCATTAGTGTCTCTTCTGGACTGCCTGACACAAAGGGATGCAGCTACAGTTGTGGTGAAAAAGTTAAATACTAAAAAGTAAAATGCTAAAGAACAAAACGTTTTTTTTGAAGGGAAAGTGATATGTAACTTGTCGTTTACTTTAAGTGCTTTATATCTTTTTATCTTTTAAAAATCCTTCTAATTCACCAGTATTTACAGAGGGTATGTTGCATAGCTCTGCATTTAAGCAGTTTTAAAACCTTAAAACAACTTTTCCAGTGGAAATGTAGACAAGATGAGTAAAGTGTTCCAGTCTCTTCTATATGCCGTGCAGCTAAATAGGTAGAGCAGTTATACTGCTATTCCATGTGCTCTGTGTTTGAAACTTATGTACTTAGTCAATTTTTACATTGTTTTTCATTTAAGACCTGATCTTGAGGAATGATGATCACCCTAATTTCCTATTGTTTTCAATACAGTTGCTCAGTAGTAGATACTCACCACCTTGAAAAAATTACCTTGACCAAAAAAATCTCAAATTGTGGAACAGCAGATTGTTACAGTTGTTTCCACTGCCATGTAGTAGCAATGGAAAAAAGATGACATGTTGATTTTGATGTCTTACAAAACAAACATTAATCTATTAATGACAAGTATTAGCAGCAACAGAAGCTGCCCTGTGTTGCCTTTCCCCTTACAGGGAGTTCTAACTCTGAAGAGCGACTGTAAAAATGACATTGCAGAGTCCTATGTTTATTTTCCCTCACTGATTTCCTTAGAAAATATCTTCATTTTACAAGTAAAAGATTTTTTTTCTAACTTCCAGCCTTTTGATCACAGCCTCTTCTGTGAGTGTCAAGCTGGGTTCTTTCTACCTTGTTTATTTTTACTAGGAACAAATGTTCTGTAATTAGGACCAGATATAGTTCTCATTGAAGTCAATGTGAATTTTGCCTTTAACTTAATGGAAAGCCCTAAGTCTGCAGTCCATAAAATAAAATTGCTCTCTCATATACCTCTACCACACTCCCACACCTATGCAGCAAAAAACGGTGTCCTGTTTACAGGGCTAGTAGCCACCTCCGTCCCCTTTTCTGGTTTCTTTTGAATGTTCCCTATCTGGTGTCAGACTTCATGCCTTTACCTCTCCTGTGATGGAATCACACGAATCTCCCACTCTCAGACCAGGCTCTGGGCTACAGTACCTTGTGTATCAACTGTGCTTACCTAGCAGATCCAACTGGGCTTTTTATCTGCAGTTCTTCCCTTCAGGAGTCTGTGATCAGTGGTATTTGGTGACAAAGCAATCTTTTAAAAAACAGAGTATTGTTTATTTTAACTGTAGGAGCAAAGCATTAGAGGATAAAGGATTTTTAAACAACAAACAATCTACACAGGTCTGTTTTACCTAATGGCTTACCCATCCCCTGATAGTAGCCTAGGCAGGCCTAGCTTCCTCAGATACCCCAGTGAATACCTGTGTCTTAGTTTTGTTCACCCTAACAACTCCCTCTCTTGAGAGACAAAGAAAGAGAGAGAGAGTCTCTTATAAAACTGCTTATAGTCTTTTTGATCTTGAGTGTTCCTGGGCTTAGGCCAGGGCTTAAATTCAGCAACAGTTTTTATAGCATGTTGGGGGATGGGGTTTGGGGTTTTGGGAAATACTCTATAAACTGCACTTCCCTTTAATCCCCACTACTACTAGAGAATACTTGTTAATTATCTGTTCTTCTTTGAGTGCTTGCTTATATCAATTCCAATTAGGTGTGTGCGCGCCGCATGCACAGTTCGCTGGAAGGTTATTCCCCTAGCAGCATCTGTTGGGTCGGCTCTGGAGCCCCTTGGAGTCACGACTTCATGGCGCCGCATATAGCGTCCTGCCAACCCGCCACCTCTCCAGTTCCTTCTTACCCCCAGTGACAGTCGTTGGAGCGTTTCGTCTCTTGTTTTCAATGAACGATCCTCTAGCAGAGTATTTCTGTAAATAGATAGTTTTAAAAGTTGTTTGTAGTTGGTTAGATATTTGAACTCGGGGTACTGGGATGTGTTTTCCCTCCCTCGTTTCCCTGTCCCTCTCCCGGGCCTGGGGCATGCCTCGGTTTAAGCCGTATGGCGTTTGTTAGAAGCCTATGCCCAAGGGTGACCCACACTCAGCTTGTCTAAAGTGCTTGGGGGAGTCCCATCAAATGGACAAGTGTAAGATCTGTAGGAGTTTTCGTCGCCGCGTGAAGAAAGAGAGGGACCACAGTTTAAAGTTACTGCTAATGGAAGGAGCTCTGCTCCCTCAGTCTGAGTCGAGCCCCATGGACACTGCACCGGGCTCCTCAGCACTGGTGCACAGCTCATCAGCTTTGGTCTGGAAGGTGCCGAGGAAGGACTCTGGGGGTCAGAGATACTCGGCACCAGCACTCCCCAGCGCTGAGCACGGCACGGGAACAATCATGGCATCGATCAGTCTCCTGTCCCAAAGAAGCGGCACAGGAAGCCTGGGACCTGATATCTCTGGCAGGTCTGCACTCTCCCGATCACGGTGGCACTGCACCGGCCCCAGATGACACAGAAGTTACCTGTGCAGTCCAGAGGCAAGCCAGCTATGACTCATCGGACTCCAAATCAGACATGGACTCGTGTGTCCTGGAGAAGCCGCTACCGTAGCCGCAAGCACTCCCAGACTGCAGGGATGACTCAAACCTTCCCTCCGGTACCATGACCAACACAATCGCAAGTACTGGCTCACATTCTGACTCCATGGACTTACCAACAGTCCCAGGAGTCCGCCTTGGCATGCTCCTTTTTGGTCGCTTCCAAGAGAAGGACTGCGTCTAGGACCAGGGATCTCTCTCTAGCATCAGTCACTGCTACCGCCGCCAGTGCCACAATCAGCACCACGCCTGGCACCAACAGCAGGACCGGTGCTGGTGCCGCATCCGGCACTGCATCCGGCACCGTGGCTATGATCAGTGCCGTGGAAGGCGCCATGGCCGGCACCGAGGCGGACTCCAATTTGGGGGCAGAACCGCAGGAAGGGCCTTCCCTAGTTCAGCGTTCCTCATCATCATCTCCAGATGAGGCTGTGGCAGGAACATCCTCGGGGCCTCCCCTCCCCGACAGAAGAGCCTCAGAACCTCGGGATACAAATGGAAGAGGTCACTGAAGCGTCAGACACAATGGTGGACATTTTATCCCCGGTAGGACTAGGGTGACCGGACAGAAAGTGTGAAAAATTGGGATGGGGGTGGGGGGTAATAGGAACCTATATAAGAAGAAGACCCAAAAATCGGGGCTGTCCCTATAAAATCAGGACATCTGGTCATCCTAGGCAGGACCCACCCGGGTGGCCCTTCCCCTGATTGAAACCATTCAGGAGAACACAAAAACTCTCTGGCAAACACCATCTTCTCTGGCTCCTATAGCTAAAGGAGTCGAGAGAAAGTATTTTGTGCCCTCCAAGGTCTATGAATATTTGTTTGCCCAACCCCCACCAGACTCAGTGGTGGTGGTGGCTGTCAATGAGAGGGTGCACCTTGGAGAGCACAGAACTCAAGGCCTCTGGTCTCCGGAGGAACTGATGCTTCACATCAATGTGAGGGAGCTCAGGGCAGTCCGGCTGGCACGTTAGGCCTTTCGGCCTCTCCTGGAGGGCAAGTGCATATCGGTCCTGACAGATAATACAACAGTGATGTTCTATATCAACAGATTGGGGGGGGGGAAGCATGCTCCTCTCCCCTGTGTCAGGAAGCCCTCAAGCTCTGGGAGTTCTGCATAGCACACTCGGTACACTTGGAAGCGTCCTATCTTCCTGGGTCTCATAATGAGCTAGCAGACCATCTCAGCAGGTCTTTTCACAATCATGAGTGGTCTATCCGCCCAGACATAATAAACAAGATCTTCCAATGGTGGGGAGTTCCCCAGATCAATCTCTTTGCCACAAGGGGCAACAGGAAGTGCTTACAATTCTGCTCCTTCCTGAACCACAGCCTGGGTTTGTTGGCAGATGCGTTTCTACTTCCATGGAAGGACTACCTTTTCTATGCATTCCCTCCTATACCGCTGGTTCACAAGGTCCTCCTCAAGATCCAGAGTGATGGAACCTCAGTGATCCTGGTGGTACCGGCCTGGCCATGCCAGCATTGTTACACCATGCTACTGGAGCTATCAGTGGATACTCCAATCACTCTACTGTTAGTTCTGGACCTCATCACTCAACATCATGGACGACTTCAGCACCCCAATCTCGAGTCTCTCCACCTCATGGCTTGAAAGCTGCATGGTTGAACCTGCTAGAGCTTACATGCTCAGACCCCATTAGGGAGGTTCTTCTGGGTAGCAGAAAACCTTCAACCAGAGCTACTTACCTGGCCAAGTAGAAAAGACTCGCAATTTGGTACTCACAGAGCCGTATCCATCCGACGCAATCATCAGTCCCCTTTATCTTGGACTACCTCCTAAAGTTGAAACAGCAGGGCTTGTCTCACTCCTCGATAATGGTTCACCTGGCTGCCATCTCAACTTTTCACCCAGGAGAGCATGGCCAGTCCATCTTCACTAACCAAACGGTGCAACAATTCCTCAAGGGATTGGACAGATTATATCCTCATATTCGGCGACCCACACCGGCTTGGGATCTTAACCTGGTACTTTCGAGGCTGATGCGGGGGACCCCATTCAAGCCCCTAGCGACATGCTCACTTCTCTATCTTTCTTATAAGGTGGTCTTTTTTGGTTGCAATAACATCAGCTAGAAGGGTGTCCGAGCTCAAGTCTCTCACATCCGACACTCCATATACCATTTTTTTACAAAGACAAGGTGCAACTGCGACCTTACCCGGCATTCCTCCCGAAAGTGGTCTCGAATTTCCATACCAATCAAGACACATTTCTTCCGGTCTTTTTCCTGAAACCTCATGCCAATAGCCGCAAGCAGAGGCTTCACTCCCTGGATGTGCAGTGTCCATTGGAGTTTTATATTGAATGAACTAAGCCATTCCGCAAGCCAAACCAGCTGTTTATTGTGCTAGCAGACAGGATGAAAGGCCTCCCAGTGTCCACGCAAAGGATATCATCGTGGATCGCAGCCTGTATCCGGGCTTGTTATGACCTGGCAAAGGTCCCTGCCCCTGCTCTAAGTGCGCAATCCACCAGAGCTCAGGCATCCTTGGCGGTCTTCCTGGCCCAGGTCCCGATCCAGGAGATATGTAGAGTGGCAATGTGGTCCTCAGTCCACACCTTCACTTCCCATTACACCCAGCACGCCAGGGACGATGCAGTGTTCAGCAGGGCTGTGCTTCAATCAGTGATTCCATGAACTCCGACCCCACCTCCTAGGTAAGGCTTGGGAGTCACCTAATTGGAATTGATATGAGCAAGTACTTGAAGAAGAAGAAGAAACGGTTACTCACCTTCTCATAACTGTTCTTCAAGATGTATTGCTCATGTCCATTCCAAACCCACCCACCTTCCCCTCTGTCGGAGTATCCAGCAAGAAGGAACATGAAGGCGTGACTCCAGGGGGCTCCAGAGCTGACCTGACGGGTGCTGGTAGGGGGAAACCTTCCAGCGATCTGTGCACGTGGCGTGCACACACCTAATTGGAATCGATATGAGCAACACATCTCGAAGAAGAACAGTTACGAGAAGGTGAATAACCGTTTCTTTCCATCAGGTGATGTCTTGTAAATTAATATTTTCTATTCTATAAGAATGTAAACGGTGGCTTAGGCCCTTCTGGGAAAAACTGATTTGCAAGTTGGCTGGTGAGAAGGTCTTCAGAGCTACCAGTATGGGCACTGTCTCTTAGCAATGCTCATGAGCCATTACTATCATGAGCCATTCTGCTTTCTTCCTATTTGTTCTTCATTACAGTTCCCTGTTAAACTAAGCCCATATATTCTTGCAGTAAATATCCCAATAGACAGGTTAACACACAGTATTCATCAGTTATTACAGAGCAGCTCCTCCTCCATCATGCTGGGTCTCATCGCACTCAGACAAGTGATTCATTTCACAGGCCTATGGCTGCCTAATTGACCTATCATAAGAAGGAGGTCTTACATACCTGGTAAAGAGACTTGGACACAAAGTTCATGGACAGGTCCAATAAAGTTTCAGTTTATTAAGCGATGGTCGATCTCCATCTCTGTGGAGAAATACAAATCAAAATGGTTTAGGATTTATCCGTCTTCTAACCCCATACCACTAACCCTGCCCGTTCTCCTTACTGCTGAAACAGCTGTGGGCATTATGTTTCCTGAAACATACTTAGTAGTTATGTGTTTTGGGGCTTTCTGGGCTCAGAGCCAAAAGCATATAAAAGACTTTTACTGCATGTGCCATTAACCCCCTAGTATTAATTCATATATATCCCCAAGTGCTTCTGATGATTGCTGTGCTGTTCTGATTCGGTTGCTGTGATCTCTCTGGGCATTTGATTTGGCTGCTAAGAAAATAGATACTGGGTAAAATTGCCAAAAACATCCAAGTGATTTAAGAGAAAAAGTACCATTTTCAAAGCAACTGTAAGTCTAATTGAAATCCACCATTAATATTGTACCATTCAATGTTTGCCTCATTCCCAAGAAATAAAGATAATTTAATATAGAATACATTGTTTTATTTAGTTACATCTCTTTGGCAATTAAAAGTGTGACTCCAGTGGGAAGTGAGATTAAAATAGTAATTTGTTGGGCACGCTAATTTGAACATGAGAGGCAGGGCTGCTTATTTACTAAGATTGCGCAACACTTCCCTTTATACGATCCTATTTTTAATTGCTTATGACTTTGCCAAACTTTAATTGTTTGGGCTGAAATTTTGCAGGCACAATGTCTATCTCAGGCTGAAAGTTTTTGAAAATTTCAGCCCAAATGGTTTATCCATTTCTGAGAATGAGGCTAGTAAAAATATGATGTTTTGCCCAGGTTAAAAAATTTGGGTGCTCTTTCTTTTAAACAGTTTTTGTGCCCCCATGCATTGGAGCAGGGACTTGAAATTTGGCTGGGGAGTGGGTAGCCTGTGTGTCCTGGATGTATCTTTTGGTGTCCTTGTGAAAGTCCACCTACATTTGGCCAAATTTATAAGCCATTGAAAAATTGCAGAGAACATGCTCAGTGACGATAGAATCTTCAGAGATTTTAGCTGTTAAGTTCTAGTAAGTCTCAACTGAGTCAAACAACTTCGAGTCCTGACTGGATTGCACATGCACCATTGCACAGAGTGACTGAGCACACTCCAGCACAGGGCAATAAGGCTCATTCCTGTAATGGCTGCTGCAAGCTGAGGTGGGGCTGGGCACAAGAGTAGGGTGTCTGCTGGCAACCAGGCAACTGTGGAGGAGGAAGCCATCTGCTTCAAATGCCTGGGTTCAAACTACCAATTTTACATTTCCCTTGTTGCATATTTATATACTTCTACCCATTGAACAGTTACAATTCCAAGTATGGTAGATGTGATTATTGTTAAACTATGGTGTTTTCCTCCATTGTGGGACAAGCCCAAAGTGTAAATGGAGATTTATTTTTCTCTCCCGTCTCTGCTAATTTCACTTGAGGGAGTTTGTTACCAATATGATATTTCTTGTATGCTTCAGACTCTGTTGTTTGCAACTGATTTAAATGTGCACTGTATTATGATAAAATTATGTGTTGAAAGAGGGTTATGAATGAAAGAGCCAAGAGTACAGAGAGTGGGGAAATACTTTAGCTGCTAGTAGCATTATTATTTGCATCCTAAACAACCACCATCAAAATCCAGAGCCCTTTACAATTAGATACATGTGTAATGAATGGAAAAGGAGGAAAGCGTTAGAAATCTGTCCATGAAGACCTAAATTATTACTAAACTGGAAGAACTGCTGCAAATTTGAGAAAATTCCTAGCCTTTTGCAATATCACCTGTGATTTCAATGGGAATAGAGCTGGGCCTCAAGTGAATTTAAAAAGAAATTGACTGTACTGTGAATAGCTCCAAAAACACCCCCGCCCCAAACATAACATTGTAAGTGACGTTTCTATCACATAAAAACATGATGGGTTGCTGTAAAGTAGAGACTCTAGAATAAATGTGACTTTTTAAACTGGAGTACTATGGTAGAGCTGATGGAAGGAAGCCACAGAGCTTTAATGCTCTGTGATGAACTGTTACCCCCACAGAAAGACTGGGACATCTTGTACTTCAGATCCATGCAGATTGTTTGCTGTATCAGCCTCATATTCAGAGGAGGACATAGACAGATGTACCTATGCATATGATGTACAAAAAAAAACTTTACAGGAAAAGGTGTTGTGAGCATATGCTGATGTGACATTAGAAATAGTGCCTATAAAAAAAATTGTCTTTGGAAAAATCTAAGTTCTTCAGAGGACAGACTGGCTGCAGGATTACTAAATGCTAGTGAAAAGAATGAGGAGTACTTGTGGCACCTTAGAGACTAACAAATTTATTTGGGCATAAGCTTTCGTGGGCTAAAGCCCACTTCATCAGATACATGCAGTGGAAAATACAGTAGGTATGGTGTGTGTGTGTGTGTATACATACACACACACACACAAAGAACATAGAAAAAATGGGTGTTGCCATACCAACTCTAATGAGACTAATCAATTAAGGTGGGCTATTATCAGGAGAAAAAATGTTTGTAGTGATAATCAGGATGGCCCATTTCAAACAGTTGACAAGAAGGTGTGAGTAACAGTAGGGGGAAAATTAG